TAATCTCAGAAACGACTTAACCGATTTGAATGCAGTTTTCACTCATGCGTTTTGGTTTGCTTAACATTTTGTGTTTATTTCAATCGGTTCATAAATAAAAAAGTTATATCAATCTAAGGAATCACATATAAAAAGCTATAAAATAACCGAGTTCAATTGGCTGAAACTTAATGGATTCGTGAAGAGTTCCAATGAGAATTATATACGGGGACTACATAGTTAGAAGCGGGCTACGCCGCAGGAATATGCACTGCCTACATTATTGACATTTCTACAATTCATATTTTATACCTTTAATGTAATAATATCAACAGACAATATACAAGTACTAAGTGTAATTACATATTTAATTAAACAAGCTCTATGAAATTAAGATACATAAAAAATAAGTACCTACGTTTTCTTGATTATCAAATAATCACTAGTTTGTCTTTTAGTTATTTTTAGATTCGCAGATGTTTATTGTGACATTTTCCAAACCAACTTCACTGGATGTTTACCTACAGATAGATATAAAGCTGTAGCTAGCTATATAATTACTAGCTATATATCTATATTAGCTACCCAGTTGGCAGTTAATAATGTAAGAATATTTATAAAATATTTTTTTTGTGATTTTGATGTAGTTACATTTCTTTCTATTAGGTACTTTTAGTTGGTTGCTCCTTTTCTGTAAATCCATACGAACTGGTGTGAATTTTTATCCTTGACGCAAACATAGGAATGTTTGAAGTCCTTGACTATTTGTTTTATTTATAATTCTTAATTGTACCCTCACATAGACAAAATTCGATATACAAAAGATCAAATTGGTATACGATATTTTTATTTGAAAGTGATTTTAATGACAATGATTTAGCTATCTTTAGTGAACTGCCACTAACAGCCAATATCAAAAACTGCAAGAAATATGTATTTGAGTAAATGGTACGGCACCATTTCCTTAAATTCATGCTTGTTTATAAAAATATTTGATTACAAACTTGCTATTTTAGCTACAATATTTACCCAAAAGCATTTGATATTAGCTGTTGGTGGCAGTTCACCAAACATAGCTAAATCATATTCATTAAAATAACTTTCAAATAAAAAGATCGTATATCAGTTTGCTTTTTTTGTATCTATATCAAGTTTTCTCTATGCCCACGCAGATTCGTGGTACTGTTCATTTCTAATTACAACGATTACCACTTTCCGTCAAATGGGCCCTCAACTTGTGTGATATTTTATCCTAACTTTATACTCGTAAATGTAAAAATGAATTTGTTTGTTTGTTACTCTGATTTTTTTAACTAAATTTGAGCATACACACACTATTTAGGATGAAAAAGTACACAGGCTTTTTATCAATCAATAACATATACTCCGGTTGTGCGGACAAAATCGTAGATAAAGATTTGGTATTGCATAAAAAAACTCGTCTTATTAGTCGTGACTTGCCCATTGACATTGTAACTACTATAAAATCTTTATGATATCAAAGTTTGTATTAACCATATAAAAAAAACTTTAGTATCTATGTATGTGTACTTCCTGTATCAATAAAAATTTTGTACCTACCCATCTACTATTAAATTAGGAATATTGTTATTTCGTAAGCTATGAGATTTCGGAGATGTCTCCTTAAAATAGGGCCATAAACAAATTCATAAGTAGGCCCTGTTCGTTTTTATGCGTTTTTGAGGTGCTCCCCCTTGCGGGAAGTAAAGTGAAACGTGGCGTAAACTGGCACCCTGCAGGAAACCAAGGGGAAAACTAATGTTTTGTATTGACAAAATTTAAAATATCTAAGGTACAAAATGCGTTTAGAAAAAAAATAAAACAGTCTAATACAGTAAGCTATGACTTATCTTCTTATATTTTTAATAAAACAGATAAATAGTATCTATATGTGTCTATATCTACGAGTATATCAATCTATAGGTATACACGTCTTAAAATAAATTTATTTAGTTGTATAAAAAGAATGCGCTCAATAATTAACTATTATTTTTTTCTGACAATTTTATTTATATTTAAATATGAAATTAAAATATTTCCTTCATTTTTAAATTCATTGAAATTAGCTATAATTTTAATCAATACTTTTATATTAATTTGTAAACAATATAATAATAATGTTCTTAATTCAAATAAAAAACCGGTCTGATTCATTCCAATTATTAGCAATACTGAAAAAAATGGCGCATTTGGATTTAAACAAAAATGTTTAAAAATTCAGTCTGACAACGTCTATTTATGGCTCTCGACATTATGCATTTGTCTTATAGCATTTGTTTACAGTGTTGGAAGAACCAAGCAAACGGTACAATTCTTATTCGATGTAAATAAAATATGCTTTTTACATAAACTTTACTAACAAATATTATAAAGTATGTTTTAAAGAAATTGTCACGAATTGTAATACTGAGTTGTAATTCAAGATTGGCTAATAAAAAAATAAAAAATCATAATTGACCAAAACAATTGTTTGAAAATAAATAGTATTCAATGCCTACAATAATTTATTTAAGTACATAAAAGTCTAAAATATTCTAATTTTAAACGTAATTATTTACCATAATATTGTTCATAAAACACTACTAATTACTTACAGAAATAACTATGTGCGCCTGCAAATTAAAATAAAATATTTGCATGCTTTTTATTTCATATCATAAATATTATTACCATTAACCAGTACATGTCAGTAGCTAAATAAAAACAATCCTAGAGGAAATTACATTTCATTCTCCGCTCACACGCCGCGACGGGCAGCAGACGGAAAATTTTAATTCAAAACACAGAGCAACCCATACACATTAAAATAGGTTTAACCGCCAGCCGTTCCATTTTCGAAAATAAAATAAAACAAAAAGGCGCGTTCCCGCCATTTCTCTCGGGCGCGCCGCGAATTCCGGTGGAAAAAATCGTATTTGGAACGCGGTTTGAATTTTAATTGACATTCAGTCAACGCAGAAAACTGCCAGTCGCTAGTCGGTGAGATATCTCGAACATTTTCAAGTTTACATCTCGTTCGGTTGAGGGTTCGTATATTCTCTTTGGGTTCGTTTACAGATCATCCACCAGTTGCATTATAGCATCACGTCTTTCTGAGGCTCTTCTTACAAGTACGATATTCACTGTAATGAAATATTTTTATGACCCGGATATATCTGATAAGGAATCTTAATAATCTATATATACTTCTAAATCATTTCAATTTCAATAAAAACTTGATATTATTGCTGCAATATTCAAGCAGATACCTTCGACTCTGTCTGACTTTCCCCTGTTTGTTATATAGATCCCTTAGTTATCAATCTAAAAAACTTTATTAAATAATTTTAGCACAGAATCTTTACCTATAAACTAATTGCTTATAATTGTAATTTGAAGTTTTCCTTTGAAGTTTTCCTTTCTCACGAAAACCTGAAAACTTTTTGTCTAGGAAATACGTATGCCTCCCCATACCTTTTTGACTTAGGATTACGACTCCCTGGATTGCGAATCTATCTACTAAAAAAACATTATTTCCATCTTTTGTAATGTGAGATGTTGAGATAACAGTTGTTCTTTACCTCTTTACTGCTCATCTGCGCAAGCGCAGAATGAATACCTCCTAGGATTAACCAACAATCTATTGTTTATAGACAAGCAGACAAAATTAAGAGAATATGCGGTCTAACAGTGGGCAAAGTAATGTGAAATTTTTCCAACCCACACCGGTAAAATCATTAATCTAACCATTAATAAAGTTAAGATCTACAAAAATCCAACTATAAGAATTGTCTGTTAATCTCTAACTCACAATCATCGGTAGATTTGTTTTCCTGTGTACATTTTGTCATTTCAAACGCCTGTATAACAGATTATGTTAGAAGAATCAATTTCTGTGTTTAAAAGAAATTCCTTGTGTGATCATATAGGTCAATGAACGAACACGCTAAGTTTCTCACAGAGACTACAGCATGAAATTAACAAAACAGTAATTCGTTTATAAATCTAATAAAACAAAAAAAAAAAACTATGATAATCTTAATTTATTATGTATTTGATATTCTCAAAGTTCTTAGCTTTGATGACATCGAATGAGTTAATGACCATAAATGAAAATTGTTATATATCCACAATTGTTCATTTTAATTATTTTTGTACGAAGTCTATGACAATTATAATAACTTTATTATTGTTGCGCGTCACGTGCAAACACTTCATGATAAGCGCTAAATTACAATAAACAATTTGGAGCGCTCATTATTCGCGGGTTCATCACGACGTTAGGCATTCAAATATTCAACACAAAACCGCGGTAATGTCAAACGTCCGCGAGTAATTGCGAAATAACCACGAGACAACCTTCTCCCGTTACACTAAATTTGGCGCCACTCGATTTGACGCAAAATTGAAAGTGATTAGACAGGCCTTTGGTCTACACCATTGTTCTGTAATTGAGCTCAATATTTATAGTACACTTGTAGACGACAATTGACTGATACAGTATAGTCACCAGCTTTCTTTATCTCACGTTTAACCATAATAGACATAACTTTTATAATATGTAATATAGAATGTCAAGTAAGTTGATAACTCTCCTAAAGTAGTATGGCAACCATCATCTATAAACATAAATAATATTATAGTCCATAGATTTTTTTTAATGGACGATAATGGTATGGTAAGCTCGCCTGCGTTAACGGTATACGCTGGCGAGATACTAGGGTAGGATGATAGGTGACGATGAAAGCAGGTCAGTTTCCCATCGAGATTAATTCTACTAGGACTAACCACTATGGTTTCCAGGGGGAGGAGGACCTGATAGGACCGCGTGGAGGTCGATCTGATAGGGTGTATTGCTAGCAATAGGTCAGACCCCAATACTAACAATCCCTTTACCCCCAGTCCTCAGAATTACAATATGGTAACTATGAATAAATACCTATGAACCTCATATTACACCTACTCCGTGAAAAATCCCTCGTGCATTCCAAATATTTTAATAATTATATTTTCTGTTACAGATAATATGACGTCCAAATCGGCTTCCAGCAAATATCTTTATTTTCAAAACCAAGGCTCATAACAAAATGTTGACATATGCCTTCAAACGAAAAACGAATACATCCCGTGAATGATTGCAAGTATAGAGAGCGCGCACATCGGCAGCGATGCAAGAAATATGCAATACAGCTGCCCTGCCGCTCGACACTAACCCTCTAGTACGAAAAATAAAATGCGAAGAGTACCCGGCCATCAGAGGGAAACAATCCGCGAGAGTTGGCATGGGGGTGCGCGATGAGATGGAAGAGGACTTTGCCGTAAAGACGAGGAATACGCCGCCAATGGGGCCGGCACCGGGACAAGATCACCCGCGTATGGAGCATGGGGGAAACGGTTTCTGGTTAGCAGCAGTAACTGCCGCTGGAGCACCACACCCGATGCTGGAGACATGTACAGAAACTGGCTTTATAAATAGCCAACCTTCTATGGCAGAGTTCATGACTGCGCTTCCGCAGTTAGGAACGGGAGAGCTGAGCCCTCAACACACCCCTCCGGGGTATGCGCCCGACCTCCCCTCGCCTGGTGGTGGGCTAAATGTACCTGAATACCCTTGGATGAAGGAGAAAAAGACAACTAGAAAAAGCAGCCAACAAGGTGAGTAATTTACAATTTAAGACACGAACTTTGAGTTTTCGATTACAATCAAACAAACAAATTTTACCACACCAATCATACCATTGAAAATACTTATCAATCCACGCCATCGCATAGCAGTCTCCAATAAGAAAATGGCTCGTCCATCAAAAAACGACGACAAATTTCGTTTCATAAGTGCGCCTAACTGCCTCGTGAATAACTACTTCGGAATTATTATTGTGCCTTTCAACGGCAACAACAAATGGCCATTCAACCATTGTGTTCTGGTTCACGGTCCCAGAGTTTCTTTAATGAACATCAAATTACTCCAAAATATATTGAATTGTATGCCGCGACGACGTTTTGTGTCCGTAACTGTTGTTAGGTAGTTGGCCGCTATGGGAGTGGTATAGTATCACAGTAACACAAGGTACTAGCTGGTATCTGTAAGCTGCGAGGCCCCGTAGAGGTATTATTCGAGCCACCGACCCGCCTCCAACATGCCGTGTAACGGAACGGAATACTCGACATGCACTATAACCACAAATTATAAGTGAGAACATTTTAAAATATAATTTTTATATGCTGACAACACAAGTTTATTTGAATTGAAGTTATTTTCCCACCTTAGTTCCAAACTTTGACGTCAATGTAGTTGATAGTCAATGTTTTATGCATGGAAGATCGTAACTTACTTTAGCTTTGTGGATGTAGATACTTATTTATAAAGAATACTGTTGTGCATTGTCTATTATACCTCACAAAAAATATTTCGCACAATCAAACGTTATAATGGGGCTAGCTAAAATACAAGATGACCCCAAATTTGTCGGCGGGACAAAACGCTGAGTGGCGCAGAACAATGAGTGAACTGGATGATCCATCATCATCCGTCGCCCGCCTGTGGGAACGTAGCTTCACCTGGTGAACCAATATATCATGCTCTGGATGTGCCACAAATTGTAACATGATATCTCCAAAATTTGCTTATTTTAATAATAAGAAGAAGACCATTGAAATACGTTAAATATTTATTGGACCTAAAATAATATTTTTTTATTACAACAGCAACTTTAACACTATTCGAATTTGATAACTCGTGTGTTTGCTTCTTGGAATTTCTACTTGTAGATCACTTGATGGAATGGAAAATTTACAACTATTAGGAAAAATATATACTATTCCATAATTTTTTTACTGTAATCTTAGCTGACCTAGTATATCGTCTACGTTGTCTATTAAAAATATTAAAAAAGACCTTTTTTTGTAATTCACTCCTGTATTACAACGAATAAAACAAAAAAAAATATTAAAATTAAAAGATTACCGAATGGCGATTCATTTATATATACTCGTATGTCTATTAATCAATATATTAACGAATTCATTTTTTCTTCACTTGATAAAGGTCTACAAAGAGGAAGAATCTGATTAATCTTTTGTTAATATCGGCATCGTGAGCACGTTCGCATAATAGACAATATTTTCAAACTGTAACACGATTATCGCTTGTTGGCACACAGAAGCAGCCCCCTGCCGGGCGCTCCAGGGGTCACGAGAAAACGTACATAAAACAACGTGATGACACGATTTAAGTAATATTGTATGATGACCATTGACGTAACCATGCATAGGTTGACTTCTACATCTGAGGAGGTGGAGGTTGTTAGCAATTGCTTCTAGCGGTCCCATTGCTAGCAATATTCCCTGTCAAATAGCCCTCTACGCAATCCCCTCTGGAAACCATCAAAGTGAATTCATTATGATGGGCCAACTGATCGGAATTCATCCTCAACTATCACCCCTCTCTAATATATTCTGCCAGCATATATCGACGGCATAGATGCAGTTACCATACCGTTTTCATGTTATAAAAAAACGCCATGTCTAATAATTATAATATATTTAACATAATATAATATACTTAATATAATTAACATGATATACATTGTTATTTATCCACATTTTATACTTTACGACAAAAAGTATTTTTGATGTATTCATGAAAGAAACAATCAAACGTAAACATAGATATTAAACATCATTAGGTACTGCAGACGCGGCGAAAAATCTTTTGTATTCGTGTATTATAGAAACCATTCGCTCAACAGAATGCCGACATCCGCTTTTTGATTCGCGTCTCCATCCGAAACGAACTTGCGAGATGATAGTGTAGACGCAAGGGTGTCCGTGAACTGGCGCTACCGGGGTAATCCGTCACTGTCACAGATATCGAGCGATGCACGCCCGCCGCCGCCGCGCCATGCAGCTCGGATCAGGCGCGCCTCGCTGTTCTAAACTTAGATATTGGGTTTACCAAGTTTTGACTGATCCTCTTAGGTGACGGTAACGTCTATTTTGACGTTTCCTCTTTCGATACTGGAATTGTATACTTGTGTCTACCTATAAAGCGTTTCAAAACAGTAAAGTTTTTATCCGATCAGTCCTCGTAAAAGCAAAATTAATATTAATAAAAAAGATTTTTTATAACCTGAAGTAATCGTCATGTTTTGATTGTTCACTTTTTTCTCTTTTTTGATTTGTATATATATTTTTATAATTATATTACCTTCCTAAAGACACTATGTTTCCATACCAACTCACAGTCGTTTCGCACATATATTTAGGGTTCCGTATCTCCAATGGAAAAAACAGAACCCTTATAGGATCATTTCGTTGTCCGTCCGTCCGTTCGTCTGTCAAGACTCTTTTTCTTAAGAACGCGTGAAGGTATCAAGTTGAAATAAATATCATATACTCAGGTCTGCAACCTTTTAAAGTAGTAAAAAATCAAGCTTCTAAATCGACGCAATCAAAAGATATGGCCGTTTATGTTCCATTTATATCACATATTTTGACTTTCGCAAAAGAAATCAACACCTATAGGGTACTTCCCGTTGGCCTAGAATCATGAAATTTGGCAAAAATTAACGTCATATAGCACAAGTAAAAGATAAAAATCAGATACCCATAGATTTGTATTTATTTTGCAAAAAAATTATACTTGATGATTTGTACAGAACCATCGTTGCGCCAGTGCGACTCGCACTTGACCGACTTTTATTATTCAATCACGCTTAAAAGGTTGACATATACAAAACAAATATGGTACACAGATAGAGCATATCCTAAATTAAAATTAATTAATTATTCTTTTATCCTAATTCCCATAAACAAAGTTACGGGATACAAAGAATTCAATATACCTAATTCTAAGTATCCATAATTGCAAAACTTAAAATTTTTGTATGTTACAAAGAATCGTTATAAAATCATCTTTATGCTTAATATCACTAACTTAACTATGTGCATTCCAAAAACAGACTCCAAAAAGAATATAGATAGATAGATACCTATCTATCTACCAATGTGGTATTGTAGATTGGTAGATACCTATTAGGGACAAGAAACAAATTGTTCGACGACCACGCCTTCGGGCTATCTCCGGAGATCGAAATTAAAATGAACGCCCTGACACGATCGATCATTCCGATTCTTTAATACAATCTCGTATTATTTCTGCACTGTCTCAATTTGTTCACAACGACTCGCTTGACTGATGTGTGATGCAAACTTCTTTGTTGTCAATTGAAATTGCACAGATTAAAGGGACCGGTGAAATTGCTTCAATTTTAACTTCTGATAAACCGTTAATATTTTAATATACCTTTCTACTATATATTATAATATTCCTATTTATAGTATTATTTGCGACTTCAACCGCTTGACCGAGACAAAAAGTTATCGTTATGCTTCTTGAATCCATAATTAATTAAATAAAAAAATAAATGTTGTTCCATTAATGTCCATAAATAATTTTATTTTTATTTATTGATTATTACAAAATATTTTTTTTTTTTTATTTTAATAGGGTTAATAGCATCGTCAATCATATAGAATTAATTTACAACTTATCTTATACATATGGGTGTATCTTGTACAACTCGACAACGGTATATAAAATGTACTTTGTATTTTTGTTTTGTACGGATTTTACTTATATTTTTATCTTAACCCTCATAATGAAATGAAAAATGTCGGTACCAAATTTATCAAAACTCAATCATCATTTCGTTTGGCCAACATATAAACATTAAAATTGACTCTATTTTGGCACAGTCGTAGAAGGAAATGCTTTAACAGTATTAATTGGAAACTATAACTGCAATAGTTATAAAATATCTTCTCCAAGTACCTTCAAGCACTATAAATCAAGTCTAAAACAAAGCGGAATAACACAAGTATTCTGCTGAAGCAACCCCAGTGAAATCGCGTGCACAGTTTTATTCTGTAACTAAACAACTGTAACATTCAGTATAATATGAATCCATTATAAATAATGGTAATGGCATAAGAATTTTGTCATTCTGTGACTATATGTTTATATGGCTTTTTACGTCGTTTCGTAATAATATATCCTTTATCTATTTAATGAAGGTTAACTATTCGCTTGAATTGATCGATTGCATGCTATTAATAATACTAACAGCTCTAAATTGGTTATTAATACCAAATATATTCGATTTAGTATAGTGACGTTATAATATGCACGGTAATATTCGACAAATGCCTCTTAATATCCTCATTTACTTATTAAGGATTGCAGTCGTAATATACACGAGTATACCATAGGTGAAGGAAAACCGTCACCTCTCTTGTCTCTTTAGTGGAACAAATCCTAATCTTTATAAAATAAAAACTGAGAAACAATAAACTTGGTTAAGATCATGGATAGTCCCATAAATTTATAAATTCATTAGATATAGGTAATGCTACACATTTGACAGTTTAATATAGCATAAAAACGAATAATAGTCTGTCAATAAATATTTTTTTAACAAGTTGTACAATAACCAATTAACTGTTTACACTTTCAATTTCAAAAATAAGTCATAAATCATAGCAATTTAGTGCGATTTAAAAAAAATTGCAAAATGTTATGGCTCAGGTAGACCTTTGTCTATGGACACCGAAGCGACCACAGATAGCAATAAATCTTATGGCGGGCTGTCTTTGAT